GAGGAAATGGTTCTGTGGAGCTTCAAACGGAGTTTCATGCGCACACGCAAGTGTTGCTGTTTGCACAAATAGAGCTGTGCACGTGTGCTTGTCTGTCACTTGTGCAGCCCAGTTCTGAATGGGTTGTGGGGCAGTAGTGGGCCATGGCCCAGAGTTGGGGACCTTTATGGTGGAATACCACATGCAGTGTAGATCTGAAGTGACTGCAGATAAAGAGTGTTGATGTCCATACATAGTTTAAGAAGCATGATTGGCTTCGATAAAATCAAAATATTCATTACGTTCTATTCTGTCAGGCCCAAAGAACCCAGAATGACACTCGGATTTACTTTTGAGTAGTTTCTTTATTGTTGTTTCCTATAGACAGAAATCTTGCCAGACTAAAGAACTATCCCCATAACTGTGAATTGCTAGGGAGGGTCCACCTTCACCCTCTTCCTGCATACCAAACATTCCATGCTTCGCAGTCTCTTTGCTCTCTGGGAAAGAGCCCCTCCCTTCTGCGACTCCAGATTACATTCCACCTCATGCCCTGGGATGGCTTCTGTTTCCTCTTTTTTATAGAATTACATTTGAATGTTTTGGAGGCCCAGATCATCACATTTCAGGTATTTAAGAAGTATTGTCTTTAGTAGTAATATTCTATTGTGGCCTAGAATGGGTACATCATAGCTTTCCACCACAGTTATCAGCAATTTTTTTGTCTTTTATCAAAGAACTATAAGTCTGAGGATTTTTTAATTCGTGGTTTTGAAAAGGGCTGTTTTTTAAACCTTTGTAAAGAAAAGTCCAATATCAAATTGCACATTAAAAAAAAGATTCCCTCCAGAAAGACTAATTCGTTTAGCCACATGCAATTCAAATGGAAGAAACCCCTCTATTTATTTATTGTTAGTCCCTTTAAATTTGCCAAATAAAAATAAAGCTTGAATAAAGCTTTGTTTGAAACTTTAGCAACTGCTTGATCAGTTATACAACTGCTTGCATATTGATGAATCTGTATCTGCATGAACAGACATTCAAGTCTGAATTATGGTGTAGTTGTATGGCCCCTGGTTATTCAGAAAAATATAGACTGGAGTGGCTCCTAATTAAAATATTTTAGAATTTATACAACTTAGTATGCATTGGATTATATTAGTATTTCCTGTTGATAAGCAGGATGCCAATGTGATGGGTGGAAGGATGGAGGGCTACTTATCAGGATGTCAAAACTGGTTGAGCTTCTGTCTTGGTATTTGTTCAACATAAGGCTTATATTTATCTCTGCATAATATGCAAAACAGGATTGGCAGTTACAAAACTCTTAGAATGCCAAATTGGCACCTCAGATTTTTTTTAAAAAAAAGGTGGAAAAGAAGAAATACTTCCTACTTTATATGAACTTGTCACACCTGCACCAGGAAAAAATATGTTTTTATTATCAACATATGAGGACAAACTTTTAATTAAACGTGTTAAAAGGATGTTCTCCCAATGTCACAGTAATGCTTATTTTGTTCTTTTCAGATGTGTTCTGAGACTTTGAACAACATGTCCCTATGATAAATCATCAAAAAAGGATAAAAGTACAGAGAGGACATTTTCAAAATACACTACAGTAGGCAGTAATTGTGGGCAAGTCAGCAGCCCAGTTTTCTTCAAGTGAATCACAACTCTTAAGGTTTGAATATGTTGAGAGACGTGCAAGGAAACCCAATGTATCTGGATGCAGTGCCAGGAACACTTTGCTTCTGTTGGAAATCACTATAGTGCTGAATTATCTTGCAATTCTGGTGTGCTGTGGGAAGAGAATATTTCACTCCCATTTAAAGAGACCTTTGGGAATCACAGGACAACACAACTGATTGCAACATCCAGATAAAAATATAGCTCAGTTTGTGCATTCAAAAAGTGCCTCTTTAGATAAAATGTGCGGATTTCTGTCTCTCCCCATCTTTCTTTTCTAGAGTGCCCTTCCAACAAACATGCTTCATTGACTGGATATGTGAAAACTAGCACCAGGTGGTGGAAAGGTACTTATAAAATTAAATGCATAGTTTAGGTTGCTAATAAATTCCGTTGTGGAATGTTTTTCACATCCATGATCTGAGTAATCCAGGTTTTCTAGGGCACTAGACACTTGTGAATTTTTAAAAGCACTAATCCATAGTTCTGCTAAGGTAGCATAGATAAGTGAAGGCTACGTGCTTGTCAGTTTTGGTTGCAGTACTGAAACTGAGTGGTTTCCCATCAAAATGACTACAGTGATTTCTGACGTAAAAAGGAGAATAAAATAACTGTTTCATCCTTATAATACAATCAGAACATTTAAGAAAGAGAGAAAGTGCAGATCTTACCTATGAAAAGCTTCGCTGCTCCTGTGCAAAATCAAATTCAGGGTTCATGGGCAGGAGTTTTAGAAAACACTATTTTTGGTTGGGGGAATAGTAGTTCTTTAAGCTCAGATAGCATTAAGTCAAACAATTTGTGGACAGATTTGACTTACAAAATGAATAAGGTAGGAAATTTATTTTAATATGTGTATGGCCAGAGACATCTCAAAAGCTATAGTACACAAAGTTTTCTCATGGAAATCCTGGAAAAACACAAAATATTCTACATGCATCTTTATGCACTCAGCAACTTAATTGTTGAAACATATTTAAAAAATATTCTTAATGCCTTCCATTAAAAGGAAAATCATTTTGGTTTTTTTTGTGTTAAATTGTGCTTTTTTTGTGTTAATATGTCTAATATCACTTAATCTGTAATCTGGGAAGCAAGGGATTCTTCACCTATAAAATCTACATAAAACATAATTGAAAGTATTGGGTCCATGCAGAGATGAATTTGTGAATATGCTGATTAGAAATGTGGAAGATGCTAATAAGCTCAAGTAATTCTCAATTTACAAGCATTCATTTAGTGATGGTTCAAAGTTACAATGGCTCTGAAAAAGTGCAGGCTATCTCTGCCCACACACCAGGAGTTCAATCCTGATTGGCTCAAGGTTGACTCAGCCCGCCATTCTTTTCAGGTCAGTAAAATGAAGAACCAGATTGCTGGGGGAAATATGCTGACATTGTACACCATTCAGAGAGTGCTGTAAAGCACTATCAAATGGTAAATAAGTCTAAGTGCATTTGCTATTGCTACACCCATCACAGCATCCCCACGGTTATATGATCAAAATTTGGGTGCTTGGCAACCAGCAAGTACTGATGACACTTACAGCATCCCAGGCCTTGTGACTTTCATCTGTGACCCTGTGAGCCAGGTTTATAATGTCATTTGTAAAAAAAAATGTGTACTAATAAATCGTGTGGATACATTTAGATGGCAGCATTGACATGTTCCTGAAATCCTGGAGGTCAAAGAAATACAGATTTTCACATGACTTTAGATGCGGCACAGGGAAGAAGTATTTGGATTCAGTGTAAAGTAATATGACTATCATGTAATAGGAGTCCAAAAGAAGAAAGCATATATAGCATTTCTACTGGGAAGAACAGTTATATAGTAAATTGGCAAAATCTTCTCTTTTAGGAAATCTGATCAGTCTTTTTTTTATCAGACCTCCAATAACAGTTTATGGAGGATGCTAGTTACAATGTATTACAAATTACAGATCTAAAAATAATTGCTTATTATCCTACCAGTAAATAAGTATTCCATGTGTGTATTCAGTTTTTGTTCTCATGGAAAGTTGGCAGGAAACAAAGGATGTCACTTACTTGTATCTTCCAAATTTGCAATTCATTTTAAAAAGAAAAGGATTCAATCACACTGATCCTTATGAACAATTTCCAAAATGTTGGAAATTAGTTTAGGTGTTCTTGACTGAAAGTCTAGGCAGAAATAATATATTTTAGGAGGAGTCTTTACCTACTTATTATTTCCAACACCACCTGGGGTATTTCTAAGAAGATAAGGGTGGGGAATGTTATTCTCTTCAAGATTATGGCTTGAAATGGAAACATGGGTTTCTTATTCATCTATGTGTAGGTGTTGCATTAAAATGACAGGAAACAAGAGCATTTGCCAGTGAGTGAAAGAAGTTATATAAAAATGTCCCAAAATAGATACGTAAGATTTGAGGGTGGGTTGTTATACTTATGGAACTGTTGTTTGTTCAGTGTAAATAATTAAAACCGGCAGAACTTGTTTTGTACATGTGAAAATCCAATCTTTTACAGACAACAAGGGAAAAATTCTATCTAAAGGTTAGTGAAATAGGCCTACAGAACTATGTCCATTTGAGCAATGCCTCTACTGGTAGGCACAAGGTGGAAGGTGCCTCAGCTGAAAAGTATTGGTGGTACATCATCTCAAAGCTAGGCTATTTGCCTTAGAATGTTGCTCAATCACCAGAATTTGCCTTCTAGGCCAGTGATAGCTAACCTTTTCGGCACCGAGTGCCGAAAGAGCGCAAGCGCATGCATGCACACACCCATAATGCAATGCGTGGGTGACTTCTCCGTGTGCCCATTACATGCGTGGGTGACCCCCCATGTGCACCCCACCCCACAAATGGCCCCCGCACATGTGTGTGCAACTCCCGTGTGCTCCCCATCCCCTGCATGTGCATGTCTCTCGCATACGCCCCACTCCCCCACATGCGCGGAAGAGGCCCAAAGACCAGCTTGCTGGTGGGAGGTGTGCATGCATGCACGACAGATCTGAGCTGGGGCAATGGCTTGCATGCCTGCAGAGAGGGCTCTACATGCTACCTGTGGCACGTGTCCCATAGGTTCACCATCATGGTTATAGGCCATCCACTTTTTGTACATGGAAGAGAAGGATGTGCCAACTTGTCCTTCAGAGAGAAAAAATAATCTTAGGTCAGCCCTACTCTGGAGGGAGCTGAGTTGATGAAGTCAGCTCAAAGAGCTGCTGCCTTCACATATGGCTCTGGTTTACCACTTTAAATTTTGACTCCCCCTCCCCCACAATAACATCTGCCACTTGGAAATTGATGGGAAAAAATGAGGTAAATTATAAATCAAATTACTATTGTTCCCCTTATACCAGAGGTGGCTTGCTCCTGGTCCGAGCTGGATCAGTCGAACCGGTAGTAACAGCAGCAGGAGGCTCTGCCCACCTGCCCGGACACTTCTGCACATGTGCAGAAGAGTCGCGGGCACCCGAACTGGTAGTAAAAATATTGGCAACCCACCACTGTCTTATAAACAGCTATATTGCAGTTCATAGTCACTTAGGATTTGATCCTGTTGCATCTAAGGGCACTTAATTATTCATTGATAAAGCTGAAGAGGATTATATGTAGCAATGAATTGTTTAGTGTTGATTCTTATTCTTTTAACACATTGCTATCTGCTATTTTAATTCATTTTACAAGTAGTGCACAACTTTGCCACTAAATAAAAGCTAAAAGTATGGTAGAATAAAATGTGTGCCCACCTGCATGCATATTTCCTTTTCCTTTAGCTATAAATCCCCTTTATATGTTATCCTTTGCAATACAATACAAAATTACAGCATATATATAAGCCTAGGCCCCGGTCCCCTGAGTAAACTACTCCTTCTGTGTCTTTGCAGCAATGATTTCTTTGTGCGGCACTCTATCAATGTTTAATCTCGAGGTGTCCTTTTAAGCCGTAATGTGAGAAGGCCCATAGAGCTTTTGAATTATATATTGCTTAGCTCTTTTTATTTATTTATTTATCTTTCTCTCTCTGTTTGTTCATTTAGATGCCTTGGAAACTATCGTTGCTGGACAAATTCCTGGGAATTTCTGTGAAAAACCAACCCCTTATGGATGAGTTCCAGAAGAAATCCAGCCAAAAGCATGATACAAGATCCCGAAAAGTAAGATTCAAAATTTCCTCAGCTTACAGTGGTCGAGTCTTGAAACAAATGTATGAAGATGGGCAAGAGCTTGAAATCCCAGCAGAAGACTGCCCCCATAATTGTCAGTCCTGGAATTTTGAACCCCGAGACAATTTATTGGGGATTAGAGAAAACCCAGATCACAGCTTTTATCCATCAGCTGGACTGAATGCCCAGAGGATCAGTGTTTTCAGAGAAGGGAACAAATACACTCTCACAAGTAACTCTTCCCTTCTGAATGATGACAAGGCTGATGGTCATATGGTAAGTAATGTAATACAATTTAGTAAAATGTAATAAAACATTCATTTTGCAAAGATTGTCAATAACGTTTAGTCATGTTTAGCAAGACATTATTTTAATGAAATATTAATCATTTGCTTCAGTTATTTATTCTTTTTCTATTCAAAGAAGTGCGGTGGCTCATGAGGTTAGGAATGCTGGGCTGACGATTGTCAGGCCCGCATCTGAGATTCGGTTGCTGCTGTGGTATAGCGTGTGCTCCTGTCACACGCCCCGGCTCCTGCTGACCCCACAGTTTGAAAGTGGGCAACCGCGAGTAGAGAGATGGGTACCACTTCAGCAGGCAACTTAATGGAGACATGAATGGAGCCCCCATCTGGGCATCCCTTGGGCAACAGTGTTGTCGCCATTCAATCCTTTCAACCTGGAAGCACTTTGGTGCTCCTGACACAAATGGATTAGTAGTTATATATATTCTACTTAACTTTATAGAATATTTCAGACCAGCACAAATTCAGAAGTCTAAGCAGAAAGTAATGAGGAAGTTCCATATCCAAGTGAGGGAATTTATGCTTTACATGTCAAAGATCACATACTTCATTTTTACGTTGCTAGCTTAAAGGATTAAAGTACAAGCAATGTGAATTGAAGACTTTTGCTTGGGTTCTGGAGAGCTGTTGATTATCAAAGTACTGCATGGTCTTATTTCAAACTTGTAGAATCTGTTCCACTATCCTGCTCTACATTTTTTATAAGAGCTTGGTGGAAATATAGATATAAATATAAAAATAATTAGCTTTTGAATGCTAGTGCTGTATAGTGTTCAAAGTCCTACATCACATAAATCAACTTCTGGTTTCTCTTCACCCCTCCTTTTTTCATTTCAGTAGTTTAGATGAAAGAGGTAGGCTGGCAAGGATTTTATTGCTCCTATAGGTAAATGATAAGCTGAAAGAAATCTTTGTCACTCCATTGTAACCCTCCAGAGAACCTACCAGTAAAGCCAGATCTATTTTTTCCGCATCTCTTGAGGAGATAATAAGGTTACAAAAGGATAAATAGCTTAACCTCCTGTAAAGTAGCTTCTCATATTCTTACTGCTGAACTGGCAATTCTTTGAAGATGTGTGAATGATTTACAATTGTAAGGTTTGGACTTTAGTAAGGTAATTAGCACCCAAACAGGTTCCTAGAGTTTGATTATGATCATTCTGTCGAATCAAATGTTTGTATATTTCAGTATAGTATTTCAGTGTCTATTCAGTTTTGAAATCTGTAATGCTTCTGATAAAATGTATCTACTGGCTATATACCGGCAGTCCAAAACTGTCTGTTTTAATTCTGAGATTGCAAAAACGAAATGAACATACGGTAAGCTCTTAAGAGATTGGATTTCATCGCTGTTGAATGGGATTCTTCATTCTAGTTCTGAAATTATGGAAGCTTGGTAACGGCTCAGTAGTGGTGGTAGCAATTCCTTTAAAATTAGAAATAGGACAATTAGAACCAGTATATAGTGCCTTAAAAAATTAGATCAAGTTCTGGATGCCATTTGCAAGCATTTTCTATTGCAAGAAATAGAAACTGCAACATTAAAATTCACCTGCTAAGGATACCTGCTGAAATAATAAAACCACAGAAGCCCACAATGAGCTCTGAAGGAATAGTAATGAGAATGCAATGATTTACAAGCATTTTATTGAATCATATTACTTATTAGGAAAACTGACATCCATGCAGGACATAGACAGGAGTGGAGAATGATTTTTTTTTACTTTGAAGTTGACATTTCCTCATTGTGAACTTGTTGAGATTGCATATCAGTAACCAGTGAGGGTTAGGAGTTGGCTAGATGGTAGAATACAAAGTAGGTGTGGGTGAACCACAGTGTGAAAATCATCAGCTCTGCTTCTTGGATGAGAAGCAAAACATCTTTAAAGAAAAACCAGAAAGTCGAGTTGCCTCTTGAAAAAAAGCACCTTTGGGACAACCATGACCTGGATGATTGAGAATCTCCATAGACACAGTGTGAAAAGTCACTGCTTGCCCTATATTGGGTCACCTTTCCTTCTACGCATCTATCTCATTTCCTTCCTTCCCTCCCTCCTTCTATAATATATATCAGTTTATTAAGCAGTAAGCAATAAGAAGACCTGCCATTATTCAGCTGATTTGGAAATGTAATCTGTCAATGACCCAGGTATCTTTCTTTGTGTAATGAGAAAGAATGAACTTTATGAATTCCATTATCAAGGCCTTCCTACACCTTGGCATAGGAACTTCTGACTAAGCCAGTTTCCATCTACCATTTGAGGAGGTCAGGTTTTTTATTCAACTTGGGGAGAAGTCTGGTAGGCTGGACATATTGGAGCTTTCTTTGCACTTGCTAATTTAGTTCTTGTTTCATAAAGATAGGCACTAAATAGAAAAGGACTCCCATTCATTGCAAATATATAAGATTTGCAAATCAGTGGGAGGAATTTTCTCTTGACGTTAATGGGCAATGAAAGAAAAAAACCCTTCTCATTACTAAGTATGGATTGGAGCACCTTAAAAAGGCCATCAATCTTTTTTTTTAAAAGTTAAACATCTACCTATGCCATTCTATTTCAGCATCCCCGCATTTTAGATTTTGGGAGGATTATAATCTATACCAGTAATCTAAAAATAATCCGGACACCACTGAGCAAGAAAGAGCTAATGCAAAGAATCATGCAAAATGAAGGTGTTGATGATAGCTCCTTCATGAACTCTGAAGAAAGAGGAGGAAGTAGCAGTGTTCAAAGCAATGTAAACATAAACAGTGATGAAACTGAATCAGACCACAACCGACATGTTTGGGTAAGACAAATGATTTCTTTTTCTTTGGTTCAGGATTCTCCTGGATATGGCCAGAATCTCAGGTGTGATTCCATCAACATTACATGTTTAAAAGTTTTGATATCTAGATGTTTGGAAGCAAAAGAGAACTTGGAAGGGAGGGAAGGGGAGGTTGCATACACATAAATTGCAGTAAAAGAAAATCTATATCATTAAAGAAGAACTGGGAGCTTTCTGGGCATATGGAATGTTGATGACAGTTTTGCTAGCAGAGATAAGAAATTCTAGTGCAAGGAACTCACCCCATTATCACTCCATAATTATCTCCAAGTTTATTCACCAGAATTAATAAACATGAAGATGACACCTCATAGATGTATAAACTAGTTTGTCATGTTTATCATTGATGTCACCTGTTTTGTAACTACAACCAAAACATTTTGAAATATCTGAACTTAGTCAATGCTGAGAACAGAGAATCCAGAGCTATAACTTTTCCAAGTGTGGTATAGCTGAAGCTCTTGTCAGTAGGCCATTTCTACTCATCCAGATGGCAAGGCATGTCCTTGTCAAATCATTCAGTGTAAAACACACACACACACACACACACACACACACACACACACACACACACACACACAGAGTCTGCCTTTAACGTGCGCAAACAACACAAATACCAGTAACTTTTGGGACGGATATATAAGAAGCCCAATTTATTGCATATATTTTGTGCCTTCCTGTTTGTCTCTTTTTCAGTCTTTCTTCTCCAATTGTCAGGAAGAAAGGAATAGTTCTCTTGCATGAAATGATTTCTTGTTTTCTTCTATGCATTTACTGGAGTGGTTATTCAGGTTATTCATCCCAGGGGGTTGACAACAAGGCATTGCTGATTCCTTTAGATGGAACATAAGGAACCCCAATAGTGATAATTAATTAAAAATTAAACATGGTCCAAATATTGTTAATCTTACAGTCTTATATTACAAGTATATGGCATATTTCTCCTGTGAGATTTTGTCAAATGGTGAAGGCACCAGGGTAGAAACCAGGAGACTATGAGTTCTAGTTCTACCTTAGCCATGAAAGCCAGATGGATAATTTTGGGGCAGTCACTTTCTCTCAGACCAACTCACCTCACAGGATTGTCATTGTGGGGAAAGTAGAAGGTGGAAAGAGTATTAGGTAAACTTGAGTTAATTAAAAATAATAATAAAACCTGTATAAAAGTAAATAAATAAGAGTCTTGTGAGAATTGGACTGCTGGATGTCCACAAGATTTGCGGGGGGGGGGGAGTGCCATTCCATTTATTCCTGATTGTTGGCAATCTTTTTTGAGGCTTAGGTAAAGAATGGAGACCCTGACAAAATCAACATGTTTGTAGGTTTGAGTAAACTATCAATAAACAAGCAAACAAAAAGCATTAGAAAACATTTTGGATAGACAATAGGGGAAGGTGGGCTTGTAATAAATAAGCCCTTCTATCATTGTTAGAATGATAAGCCTTAAATATAAGGTTTCTGCCATGTGCAGAAAGGCTACAAAAAACAAAATCAAGACAGGCTCATGCTTGTAGCAAAGAGATAAAGAAAACTAATTCTTGACTACCATCTAATCTAATCTGACTTTTGCAACTCAGATATAATAGCCCTAATTTTCAGCCATAAATCAAAATACAATTATCTTCTTTTTCCTTGCTCTTTAACACAGCATGATGGGTTATTCTAGTTTCATTTATTTCATAAAGCTGAACATACTGTACATATTGCGTAGTATACCTACTGGTCAGAGGTTGTATTCAGCTGGTGCTGACCAGTTCTGGAGAACTGGTAGCAGAAATTTTGAGTAGTTTGGAGAACTGGTAAATACCACCTCTGACTGGCCCCACCCCTATCTATTCTCTGGCTCCCAAGTCCCAGCTGATTGGGAGGGAATGGGGATTTTGCAGTAGCCTTCCCCCGCCAAGGTATGCCCACCAAGCCACACCCGCCAAGCTATACCCACCACTGCTACTGGTGAAATGATTGGTATCGGACACAGATACTTAATATCTCTAAACCATGAAAGTCCATGAGGATTGAGATAGAAGGTAAACAATATAAACAAACAAACATATAATGGCTTTGGAAAGTACCTTAGAGGATGTCTAGATCTGTTGGTCTAGCCTTCATTTGGAGACTTCTCAGGGAAGGAGAACTAATAAGACCATTATGTTTCACAAACATCAAGCAAGTTCTGCCTGATCTACAGTGTGAACCTCTTTTTTTGCACTTTTAATCCATTGGTTCTGGACTGTCCCCCTAGGGCAATGGAGAATAAATCCACTCCATCTTCTGTGTGACAATCCTTCTGTCATCCTTCAAGGTAGAAACAGACGCAGCAGGGATTCCAGGACTGAACTTAGAACATAGAATAATAAATTGGAAGGGACCTTGAAGGTCTTCTAGTCCAACCTTCTGCTTAAGTAGGGGACCCTATACCATTTCAGATGAATCAGTGTCCAGTCTCTTTTTGAAAGCCTCCAGTGATGGAGCACCCACAACTTCTGAAGACAAGTTGTTCCATTGATTGATAGCCCTTTATTCATCAGTTGTTTTATTTTTTTAAATGCTAAGAATTGAAGCAACTGGATGCAACAAAAGGCTGCAAGATGTCTCCTTTCCCTACCCCCAGCAGCAAAATCCAAACTATGTTTGAATAATATTTAGAATTCTGGGTGAAAACAATGCCTATCTTATAATTTTGCCGAGGAAAAAATTACCTTGGAGAACTTTTCCTGTCCCTTGTTTTTCTTCTGGGTAAGGGTTTTTGTGAACTGATACGAAGGAAAATGGTTTAATCAAGTTCTTGTATTTCAGGAAGGCGATGAGAACAGCTGCTCACAGTGTAAAGGATCAGGCTCTGCCCCCTGTGCTGTGTGTCATGGAAGCAAGTTTTCAATGTTGGCTAATCGGTTTAAAGAGTCATACAGAGCTCTGCGATGCCCTGCCTGTAATGAAAACGGGCAGCAGCCCTGCCAGATTTGTGTTTAGTGACTCTATCTGTTCTTTAATTTTTCTTATTTTCTTTCGAATAGAACAGACCCCATCAAATAGTCTATGCCCATCCATCTTCTTTGGCTAGAAAGCTACCTTTTTATGTCTGGTTGTTAAACAGTCTTATCAATTGCCAGCCTTTCCACTGAATTAAAAGAGCTGCCACATGTTTCAAGACAGCTTTTTTTTTTCTGATTTCAGTTGAGTGAAAGTAAAGCTGCACTCGCAGAGTAATATAAATGCCATATAAAAAGGACGTAACTTTGGCTAGCTCGTGTTCTCGGTTCCTATGGTCTTATTTTTTTAAAAAGAGAACAGACGTCAGCATAATAGAAGAAACAAAATTTGTACAACCAGGAGTATCAAAACATAAGAAGAAAACAAATGTCAGATATAACGGGACTGTTTTAATAACCTTTTGATTAAAAAGTATTTTTGGAGTCAGGCAACCTTACCAAAACTAAAACAAACAAACAAACAAACAAAACACACACACACACATACATACATAGCTGCATGCCTACCTTTCAGAAAATTAGCCATCTGGAAACTCTTGAGGTTATCCAAACTATTTGCAAATTAAAGTTTCCAGGGCTCCTTAAGCATTTATAAGCTCTTGTATCTCTTGGCAGAACAAAAGTTATTGTTTTGGGGCTTGCTAAAATAAAAATGAGACTCAATTTGGTGTACTGATTAAGACATCAAGATAGAAATCAGGACACTGTAAATTTTAGTCCTGCCTTTGGCACAAACCAGCCGGATGATCTTGGGCCAGTCACTTCTTCTAAGCCTTAGTAAGGAGGCAATGGCAAACCACTTTTGGGAAGAAAAAAAACTTTGCCAGAAAACTGCAGGGACTTGTCCAGCTAGTCTCTAAGAACTGGATGTAATTAGATGGAAGAAAAAAAAAGATGCATCAATTGTTAAAATTATCTGGAAAAATATGAGACTAGCACTATAAGGTAACAAAGGGATTTAAAAAATTCTACTTCTTGACTGACTTCCAGTGATTGTACAAAACTTTGCATTGCAGATGTAGAAGCTCTATTTAAATTCATGTTTAGGTATGACTTCTATCAGAAGATTCTTAGCACATAAAATAAGATGTCAGATACTATTTATTTGCACTTTTAGCTGGCTGACTAAATATCATGCTATGTTTCACTTTTATGAACAATTTCATTTTGCAACATGTTTTGCAATTAGTTGTACATTTATTCCTCCATTGGTTCATCTCTTTTCTTTCAAAGCTGGATCATTTCAAATAGTATACTTTTTAATGTGCTCTATGTAGAGAACCATTTTACTTCTGTTACCTGATTTAGCCAGCCTATATTTCTATACATTACTAGCCGGAAAAAAGGAAGACAACAACAATCAACGTACTAGAACATTTGGAAAAAAATATATTTGTCCCTTTCTTCAGAGGGAAATTATAACTGATGTTAATGGGACGCTTTGCCTCTTCCAGGATTTGCGGTTAACAAATGGTGCTTCTGTTCTTTAAAAAGAATTCCCCCTTGTAATTTCTAAAACATGAGTTCTGATTAGTTCAGATGAAGAAGCAGTGTTAAATATTTAACGTGTACTGTGGGGAACACCAGAACTATTGCTAATAAGCAGGACTGCACAGTGATGTCGATTTGAAAGGGAAAGGGTAATTTCGAGCAGAGATGTACATGTAGCATCTCTTGGTATCTCGAATCCCACTGCTGTACCATAAACTTCTTTACAAAGTTGGAGACAAGGGATATGAATGTTCACTTGTTCCCCAAATTACCCTCTCCTCTTCAAATCCAAATTGCTGTACAGGTTAGCACATAAGAAAACAAATTTGGGTTTGGGGGATTTTTTTGGGGGGGGAGGGATGCCCTAAGTTTCATTTTATTTTCTATGCTGGCTTTGCTTGAATACAAGATCTAAGAACTTGATGGATTAAAAGATTCCTTATACATTTCATCTCCTGAAGTTGGAAAAGTAGGTAATTTAGAATTGAGATATATACATAATAACATGGCTTAAAAAAAAAAAGCTGAATTATTCGCTTTAAAGCTATTGTTAAATGTAAGTAGTGATTTATCAGCTTGGATATGCCAGTATGCATCTCATTCAGATAAACTCAACTGATCTTTAAATATATAACCACAATAAGCAACTGCTTTGAATTTTAATGAATACAGAGAATATATGTCAAAGGAAGGATTTTACTTGAAAAAGTTAGGGATATTTTGCTTTTGAATTGTTTAAGTATATCAGTTTCCCCTTACTACTAAAGATATAAAAACAATCCTCCAAGAATTTAAAATATTTTAAATGGACTTCTTTGTAAAAAAAAAAGTACATTTGAAGCACTTGTGTGGAATCTGCTAACATATCCTTTTCTCTAGTCAAAAACTGGACATCTTTATCTATGATTCTTTATTTATTAAATTTGCCTAGATAAAAGGGGTAATTTGGGGGTGGGGAGTGTAAAGGCTATCTTTGGAAAATTTACACAAAACAACTATATTGTACTGAACATTTGTGTTAAAAAGAATGAAAAGTAAATGATTGAGATATTGTGCTAAAGGTTGAATAGACTAGGGCGGTAGAAAACCAATATTTGGGCTTTTTTCCTGTAACTGGGAACTCACAAAAGACCCAGCCAGCATAATAAGAAAGTTACTTCAGGGAAGGGAGCTTTATATTTTCTGCTTATTTATTTCATTTTGGATGATTAACCCCGCTTATTTCTTTCTTTCTTTCTTTCTTTCTTTCTTTCTTTCTTTCTTTCTTTCTTTCTTTCTTTCTTTCTTTCTATCTATATATCTACCTACCTACCTACCTACCAACCAACCTACCAACCTACCAACCTACCAACCATCTATCTATATTTTATATCACCTCTTAAACCTAGTTTCAAAGCAGGCAAGCCACTATTTACATTTAACATATGAATTACATACAATTTATTATATCTATGAACCATTAGCCGATAGGGATCTCTTCTGTAAATGCTAATAAAGGCTCTTACTGTGTCTGGTTGGTCTGTTTTCTCCAATGGAACTCTAGGCATCTTGTGTCACTTCATTTCTCCAAATTCATTGGTATACCTGGAAAGCCGATGGGATCCACAAATGCAGAGTGTTTGCATAGGTACTCTATCTGATCTAGAGTATTTCTATTCTTATTTCAAGCCATGACTGAAAGGCGGAGGGGGAGTGAAATCTCAAGTTCTTCCTGAAAGCTTACTAGCTGGTTGGAGTAAGCTGATCAAATGGGATCATGGGATTTACCTCACTGCAGTGTGTGTGATGGTGATGGTGGGGGTGCAGAGAACACCAGAGTTATCTGTCCATTGGGAAATAATTGATATTAACATCCTCCAACTCAAGATCCTGACACCACTGTCCTGAGACAAAAAATGTGATCTCTGCTGTGAACTGAACCCTTTATAAATTGGATCAGGTCAGCGTTATCATGGTGGCCATGAACTCCGAAGCAGCCTGATTCTGAAGGCAGATTTTGCTTTTGAAGACAGAGATTTATTACTGTTATTACTGTTACATCTATTCTGAGTCTCAGAAAAAAAGTAGATTTGTATCGATCATACTGTATTCTAACCATTCAAATGGGATTATGAAGCGTATAATATTAATCAATAATGGTATAATAGAATTATTTAGATGTAACAGCAATTTCAACATTACCAGAATTGTTATCAGGTTGTTTGGCTGTGATTCTAAAAGCTGACTGAAGCACAAAGGCATTCACCTGGCCTCCATATTTTTACATGGGATTGTTCATCATACATATTCAGAACAACACAATTTTTCTTCCTGAAAGGTGTATGTTCATTCATGGATTCCCATGGATTCCCATTTATACACTACATCTGGGTGTTCCTAACTTACTTCCCATTCAGACATATTAGTTGCTATCAATTCTTTTCTATAATTGTATTCTTCTATATATTACTTGTGTATTAGTTCAAAATTTCTTTGTTGAATGTATTCATCAGAAATTCATGCCAGATAAGTGGTGTGGTAATTTGACACTCAATGTCATTTATTACATAAAAATAATTAAATTACAAACTGTGTGAATATGACTAAAATTCTTTGGATTTTCTGTATTTATTGTTTGTCTACCTTATTTATTCAACATAGTTAGTTTTCAGCATTTTCTTTGATCTTATAAACTAATAATTTGTTGAAGTGTAAAGCAAAAAAAGACAGTGTTTCAATAATAAATAAATACCTTATATATTATATATGATTTATAACTTCCCTTTTGTTATTTTCGCATTTCATTATCTCTTTTATTTTAAATAGTTGCAGAATTACAAAAGAAATTATGTTAATCAAAATGTACATCAAGACAGGGAAGTGCACACGTTCCTTTATTATTTGTATATATAAAACATGTATAAATTGTTTCAAGCTATTCTTGTACACTGTAATTACACCAGCAATTCAACATAAAGGGAAATGCTTGATTGGAATGATAAGTATCCATTAAAGTGCTATTCCTACCTTTTAGTTCCAGTTATTCCAGCAACGTAAACAAAAGGGAGAGAAATACTGAATGGCTGTATAGAAAAATGTAGTTTCCCCAAGGGATCTTATTTGCTAAAAATGTCAGAATAATATAAGGAAATAAGGACCCCATTTTAGGGGCTTCTACAGGGTTGTGATGACACCTAGTTATTCAAAGGAACCATCCCTTTTGTATACGTGCAATGTGATATACAGTACAGTATGTAAAGAGTGGGATTCCAATCACATTTTAGCTGTTCTCAGTGGCTACCTCTGCCTTTCTCTATCCCTTTTCTCTTGGGTAGTATCAGTTGCCTCCAGGATTGACTAGAGCATGGATGTCAAACTCGTCACGTCACATTGCTGTCATGTGACATCACAATGTTTTTTCCCTTCGCGGAGCTGGGGTGGGCCTGGCCTGAGCGTGAAGTATCTGCCCCAAGGGCTGCCAGTTTGACATCCCTGGACTAGAGCATCAATGGGATATGCAGCCTATCACTTGTAGCATCTTGATGCTAATTTGGACCAGTACTCTATTTAGTTTTACAATTCTTCAGTCAAGACTGCAATCATCTTTAAAAAATTTAAACATGCCTAAATTGAAGGCCTCTATATCACATATGGGTGTGTGTGTATAGGTGATGGCTCAAATGTTAAAGATGACAAGCTTGTCAACTGGAAACCTAGCAGATCAGGGTTCGAGACCCAAGCATTGTGTGATGGGGTGAACACTTGTTCCTCCAATCTAGCAATTTGAAAGCATGCAAGTAAGAGTAGATAAATAGGCACCACTTTAGTGGTAAGCTGTGTTCTGGGCACCTTGACATATAGTCATACTGACCACAGAAATGTCTTTGGACAATGTTGGCTCTCTTGGCTAAGAAATAGAGATAAGCACCACCCCTTGGAGTTGGTCACAACTGGAAGGGGGAAACCTTTACCTTTTTATATCAGATATAGTGTCAGCCCAAGTGCTATAATTACACTGAAAATACATAACCTCTATTAACCAAAGTGTTAGAAATGAACAGTGAAGGCAGAACAAGGATAACACTGCTTCAGTGGAGACTGAGCTAAATTCTCAAAGACTTCAAGTAGCCTGTAACAAGTGGTGGGTTTCAAAAAAATTTAGAAACTCTTCTGTAGGTGTGGCCTGCTTTGTGGGAGTGGCTCAGAAACTCTGGCATTTGAAGCACGCAAGTCTTAAACCTGTCAAGTTACAAGACCCTTGCACCCCTAACCCTTTAGAAAAAAACCCCCAGGGGTGTTCAAACTTGACAGCTTTTAAGACTTGTGGACTTCAACTCCAAGAATTCCTCCTCCAGTCATGTTGGCTCAGGAACTCTGGCATGTGAAGCATGCA